TACCTCTCTGGCATGGAAATAGTTTAGTTTCGAAAATACTTTTTTAGCGCAGCGCTCAGAGCGCTTCAAGTTGAAATCTGTTCAACTTATAACACGGAAAATTAGTTTTTGAGCGCTCTCAGTGCTAGAAACGCATTTGGTGGACACAAGCCCTAACTCAGACAATTCCAATCACATTTTAAAAGGATATCGACTGATTATCGTTATCGCTAAAATCCCAAAAAATAACGATACATTTTTTTTTTGCCCATATCGCCCACCCCTACGTCAGACTCTTTGCTTTGAAACCTTTGCTGTCGTGCATTTACAAAATGTTTATCTTGAGAATATATAGGCAACATCTTACAATTGAGTTGCACGTTCATGTACAAACACAACTGGTTTCAGGTATTTTTACAGGTTTCGTTACACATTTAATCAAGATTCACTTACTAGCTTTTTCCAGAGCTTTCAAACACAGTTCACGGTCTTCAGTAGCAGATTTTTATGAACATTCTTTTTATTGATTTTAATTTGCAAGAAGAAAACAATAACAACAACTCAGTACCATATATGGAGTATTTGCATCATTGGTCCAGGACACCATACGCAGCATTCATCTAGTCACCAGAGCACAGCATGCTTCCCTCAGCATCTCACCAGTTGCTAGCTATGCTTGAACTGCTAATATAAAGGGTAAATATATACCTTATAGTAACACATTGTGATGTTGTTTATTCTTTGTTTACCTAGCTAAATCTTTTTGAGTACCTACCAAAAATGGATCCAAGCATTCGACCGTGGTGGATCAGGGGAGGCGGGGTCTGGATTGGCCTTACGGATATTCAGAAGGAGGGCAGTTGGATGTGGTTAAATAATGTGACACTGCAGGATGAAGGGTAAGAAGTTTAGTCTTACTATGCTGTGTTGTTTTGTTAAAAGAATTATTCAACAACAATCAACAAGAATGATTATGAAGCTTGTTAATAATTATCTGAATAAGTGTATCCATTAAACCACGAGTTGCACCTCCATCAAATTCTTAAATTATGTTAATGACACAAATCAAATCCTTTCATCTGATAACTAATTACATGCATCGAGAGAGAGAGAGAGCGAGATTGTAAAGTATACCTCGGCATTTGCTTTAGGTACTGGATACAAGGGGAGCCCAACAACCATGGACGACATGGTGAGAACTGTGCAGCATTTATGAACATTAAAAACCCTAGGGCAACATGGTTTGACGCAAGTTGCCTAGATGACAAGGAATGGTTATGTGAAATGGAACCCAACTAGCTGTGGACAGCATCAATATGGACGTCCATATCCCTCTTCTGTGCCCAAGAACAACCTCACAGAGCTACTAGCATGGATTTATGTAAAGTTTATGTAAGTTTATGTAAAGTTGGTTCCTGAATGTGTTCTGAGTGTAAATAAAGGTTGAGTGAGTGAATACAACTTTTGTGATTGTGCTACTTGAGTGCAGCATTACATTAATTCTACAGATGGTTTGATAGTAAAAATGTTTACTGAAGAATAGAGTTTGAACAATAAATTAAGAATCTCTTTTCAAAGCAACACTTGACACACTGATTTGTGGGCAGCAGGGGGTGCAAATATGGTAGGGAAGAGTAGACAATAAATTACTAGAGCTGACTGACAAATGTATTAAATCTGTTATTTTTTAATTTACGTTTTTAAAACAATTCAAAAACACCTTTTGTAAAATTGACATTTAAACTACAATTGTTATAATGTGGGAATATACAGATATTAAGGACTCTAAAATAAGTCCCGATCAAGTCCCTTATCTGCACAGAACGCGTATAACCACATAGTAGCCTATCCCATATGAGAAGAAGGGTTGTTTCACATCGACAAACATATGGTGTCTTTTGTAGTTTGTTTTTAAGGAGAAAAAAGAAAAGATTAAAATCAGAAATGTGGTGTGGAATTTTATTTTTAGTCCATAACGACTGTTTACACTTCAGAATTCTGGTTAAATTTAAGTGTTTGTGACCCCTGCTCGCCCATTTAGAATCTCCCACAACAGCAATCTCAACCACACATTTGTTCAAATCTTTTCCTCACATGGACAAAGATTTAAACCACACTATTGTTCTGCAAAAAAGTTTAATGTCTGGGTGTTTTCTTTTTTAACATGTTATGCAACTTCCATTCTTAATCAGCCTCCAATCCCTTAAAGAACTGGCCAGATAGCAGGGCAGACTGTATCCGGTTGATCTGGCTGTGATAGATTGCTGGGAGGAGCAGGTGAGTCCAATATGTTGTAAACAAGATAGTGAGTAGATAAGCAGTGATATTCATAATGTTCTATTGTCAGGCTGATGAATGGACCAAGGACCCTTCTCAATCTTGAAAATGAAAGCTTGATTATAACTTTTTTGTGTGTGTGAAAACAAAACAAGCCCACCAGAACCCAGCTGGAGATACACCACCCCCACCACCCATATGGCAAAAATCATGCTAGAATAAATTGATTTTATTACATCAACTATATTAAACAGAAACCACCAGTATAATCATTTATGATGCTTTATGATTGCCTTGGTAAGATTGTATCCAATAATTCTGTTCCAAATCCTTATTCTCAAGTTTAGTTTATGACCATTGACCTTGTGTAAGTAAGTGATGGAACAAAGCACCAATAGGAAGAAGCACTCACTTTCAAACTGCCTCTGCCTCCTCTGGATATAAAAGAGGAGGCAAACAGTTCAGTGGTCTGTTATCTACGACATTGCAGTCATGGAGAATCTACAGAAAACGGCAAATGACAACAAAAATGGAAATGTACGCGCTTATTTTGAAACATTTTGGCAAGGTACAGAGTTTGACATTTTCTGCAATGTCTGACACATTTCTTACTTTTTCATCTAGTTGTTTTCTTTTTTTCTATTTCTGACCTTGTGATTTTGATTAATTAATTTTTGTCATTATTAATATGTAAGTGAATGAAGAGTTAAAGAGATGCATTTCAAATACATGCTAAACATACAGCCTGTCCTTAATCATTGTAGCTTTACAGTCATATATATGTAGCTTAATGTAAAATGTAAAAAAACACTGAGTATGTAGTGATAGGACTTACAGTTAAGATTAGCCACAATTATTTTTTCTTTCTTTACCTTTATTTAAAACAATAGATCCACAGAAAATGTGAGTATTAGAGTATCATACTGGGTAACCAAGACATTCTTTTAAAGTAATGACCACAAACAAACTAATTGTATTTGCATGGCTAGATAAAACTACAGGGTAAACTGGAAAATATGTGAAAATGTTTTGTGATTGTTGACATTGTTGATTACAGGTGGATTCACTTTTCCCAACATCCGACTGGTTATACTCTGTCTGGGACTGTTGAACGTTGTTTTGCTGATTGCTGCCGTTGTTATTGGGATAAACAGTGAGTAAGACTGTTGGCCAATGGTTTCATTTCCCTTTTCTGTGGAATTTTCTTGAGAGGGTTGAATAGACATGTTTTCACTCAGAAAAAAAAGGGGAAGATTTTATGCAATTCTCTTTGTGACATTGTGTTTTCTCCTCTCCAGGTGCCAAAGTCAGAGAGGGTTCCCTCCAGGTTCCCCAAGCAGCTGCAACCCAGCTCATCATTGAGCTGGACTATCTCCTGAGCAACCACAGCGATGTGATCAAAGCCAAAGAGGAGGCCAAGAACGAGTTAGACAGAGCGCTCAAAAACCATACACAACTAAAAGTGAAAATTGAGCAGCTGAAGACCATCAATGACAATTATCAGAGGCAGATTGAGCTCCTGCGAACAGAGAAGACCAATCTGCAGTCCAACATATCGGCTTTGGGTGAGTTGATTATACTTTATTTAATCTGTTAATTTAGAATACAGACAACACAATAAAGAAAGTGACAAACAAAAATATTTTATTTGTTACAGAAGGACATTGTGGCAGATGCCTCCCTGGATGGATTTTTCACAACTCATCCTGCTATTTCTTTTCTTACAATGAGTTACCTACTGTCACAAAGAACTGGCCAGATAGCAGAGCAGACTGTGTTAATCGTGGAGCCGACCTGATTGTGATCGATAACCAGGAGGAGCAGGTGGGTTGAAAATAAATGAGTAAATACTGTTAAGAATATGTAAATAACAATGTTGAAATAAATACTTTTTAATCTTACAATTAATCCCTTTAAAAATGTAAATTTCTTGCTTCACAGAAATTTGTGAGTGAAATAATTGAAAGTATAAGACATGAACGTAATGTCTGGGAAAGTGGATACTGGATTGGTCTCACTGACACAGTGACAGAGGCAACATGGATCTGGATTAATAATGTCACAGAGGTGGAACAAAGGTGAGGGCTGTAGTGTTTTACTATTAACGCTGTAGTAATTATGGATAATTAGTGATTACTTTTATGAATGATTTGATTTTTTCAAAGGTATTGGATGGATGGGGAACCAAATAACCATGGACACATGGGAGAAGACTGTGGGATTGCAGTTTATTCCGCCACTAATCCCTGGAAGACCCGTTATGATGCCAATTGTCAGCAGAAACAGAGTCACTGGTTATGTGAAATGAAATCAAGCTAGAATCAGGAACTGCTGCTCAAGCAGAAAACCCAAGTATTATTTTGTAACTCTTTAAGAAAAGAATAAAATACCCCTAAGATTGGTCTCGTGTTTGGTCCTCACATGTCCTCATATGTAGAGTTTTGCCCAAGAAAGTGCATCTCAATACTATATAACTGACATCCACATTATAGCCATTATTCTAAGGTTTGCACATTATATATGTGTATACAGTGCGGCCCGTGGCGTAGGCAGTATAGGCCAATGCTAAGGGCGCTGTCCATCTATGGGGCGCCACGATGGGGGAAGAAAAAAAACCAAAAGGTGCAACTTTCAATATTTTTATACTAAAACTAGTTGGTGCTAATATTTCTCAGTATGAAAATAAACCCACATTAATTTAACTGCATAGCAAAGCCTATTAAATAATAATAAGACTTTATTAAACCCCCCGCCCCCCCTCCTCCTCTACCTGCTCTCTGAGAGATGGTTGAGTTTTCTGACGTCAGAAACCATTAACAATGTCAAAACCACCAAAACTTTCCGGTACCCAGGGAAGGAAAAAAAGAAAAGAAGAGGAGGAAAAACGCGACAAAGACAGAGGTAGAGTAAAGATAATGTGATGAAATGATTTGTCTGTTGCAGAACGATAGTAACCTTTAGCCTAACACGGTTTGCTAATCAATAAATAGCGTTAGCTCGTTTTAACGTCAGTTCATGTTATGGAGGGGCCTAACAGCTGTTATGGAAAAAAGTAATACTCCCACCTTCTATTTCTCAGGGACATTTGTAAAGATTAGATCTATTCAGCAGGTGTTTCCATTTGTCTACATTTTTATTTGTATCTATTATTGGTTAGCTAACGTTTGCTCTGCTTGTAACAGTCACACACCTTTATATATTAGAGTTGTAAGCCTTGTTGTTTGTTGTGTTACAGTTCAGTATTGTCTAAAGTGTGTTTATAGTGTTAAACTTTACATCCATGTTAAAGTGCACATCATTAATGTTAATACATTCCCATATGTTATACTGCAGTTTACTGCTTCTTTGCATTCTGCTAATCAGCATTGCACTGTAATGACAATAAGATTAAATCTAATTTGCATATCAGAAAAAATTGCACTTTATATTATTCATGTACAATACAGTGAAAGTAATACATCGCTTAGGTTTTTCATTTTTATTATTTAATTTTACTCATGGAATCCTTTCTTTTATTATTAGACTGTAACACCCAACGGTGTCACTTACTCCTCTTCTCTCTTCAGGTGCGCTGTTGAAATATCTAAATCCACCTCCTGCAAATCCTGGACCATCTACAGTCATCGCCGCTTCAACAGCATCAAGTGATCCTCCTGTCACCTCCACCTCAGGTTTATCACTTGTTTACAGTTTTTTATTTTGTAGGTAGTTAAATTTTATACTTTGTGTATGCTATTTATATGACATTTATTGTATTATTTATTTCTAATTTATTATTTTCTTGTTGAGTCAGTCAGTCAGTCTGCCACTTTGTTTCAGACTGAAATATGTCAACAAGTGTTGGATGGAAGCCATGTCCCACCTCAGGGTAAAATGTAGTAACTTTCATGATCCCCTGACCATCATACTTACAAAACTAACATTCCTATCAGCCTCAGCTGTACAAAGTGTTTCATGCAGTGTTAACGTGCTACGGTCAACTAAGATATTGACCCTAATAAAGATTGGGTGCCAAATCAGTATGTTAGGATTGTCATCGTAAGTGCTGAACATGTTAGCATCACTCTACCTTAGGAAAGCCTCTCATAGCTGCTAGCCGTGCTGCAGAATGCTTTGTGCTATTAATGTTCAAAATATCCTGTAACCGTCAGAGACGTACTCCACCCTAAAACATGTTTTTTGAGCTTTAAACTGAATCATATGTCTATACTATGATGAAACACATCACTTTTTGTTAAACTCCAGAAATTTGCTGTGTACTTATAAATTGTCCCTATTTGGGGTCTTATTTTGAGGTGGGACTTAGAAAGGTGTTTTTTGTTTTTTTGTTTGTTTTGTTTGCCTTGGCAAGATTGTATCCAACAATACTGTTGCAAAGCCATATTCTCAAGTTCATTTTATGACCACTGGTCTTGTGTAAGTAAGTGAGGAAGCAAAGAGCCAATACGAAGGACTTTCAAACTGACTCTGCCTCCTCTGGATATAAAAGAGGAGGCAAACAGTTCGGTGGTCTGTTATCTACGACACTGTAGTCATGGAGAATCCACAGAAAACTGACAACAAAAATGGAAATGTACGCACTTATTTTGAAACATTTTGGCAAGGTACAGAGTTTGACATTTCCTGCAATGTCTGGCACATTTCTTACTTTTTCATCTAGTTGTTTTCTTTTTTTCTTTTTCTGACCTTGTGATTTTGATTAATTCATTTTTGTCATTATTAATATGTAAGTGAATGAAGAGTTAAGAGATGCATTTTAAATACATGCTGAACATACAGCCTATCCTTAATGATTGTAGCTTTACAGTCATATATCTGTAGCTTAATGTAAAATGTAAAAAACACTGTGTATGTAGTGATAGGACTTACAGTTAAGATTAGCCAGAATACTCAAAATCTTCTGTGTTTTTTTTTCCTTTTTTCTTTCTTTACCTTTATTTAAAACAATAAATCCACAGAAAATGTGAGTATTAGAGTATCATACTGGGTAACCAAGACATTCTTTTAAAGTAATGACCACAAACAAACTAATTGTATTTGCATGGCTAGATAAAACTACAGGGTAAATTGGAAAATATGTGAAAATGTTTTGTGATTGTTGACATTGTTGATTACAGGTGGATTCACTTTTCCCAACATCCGACTGGTTATACTCTGTCTGGGACTGTTGAACGTTGTTTTGCTGATTGCTGCCGTTGTTATTGGGATAAACAGTAAGTAAGACTGTTGGCCAAAGGTTTCATTTCCCTTTTCTGTGGAATTTTCTTGAGAAAGTTGAATAGACATGTTTTCACTCAGAAAAAAAATGTGGAAGATTTTATGCAACTCTCTTTGTGACATTGTGTTTTCTCCTCTCCAGGTGCCAAAGTCAGAGAGGGTTCCCTCCAGGTTCCCCAAGCAGCTGCAACCCAGCTCATCATTGAGCTGGACTATCTCCTGAGCAACCACAGCGATGTGATCAAAGCCAAAGAGGAGGCCAAGAACGAGTTAGACAGAGCGCTCAAAAACCATACACAACTAAAAGTGAAAATTGAGCAGCTGAAGACCATCAATGACAATTATCAGAGGCAGATTGAGCTCCTGCGAACAGAGAAGACCAATCTGCAGTCCAACGTATCGGCTTTGGGTGAGTTGATTATACTTTATTTAATCTGTTAATTTAGAATACAGACAACACAATAAAGAAAGTGACAAACAAAAATATTTTATTTGTTACAGAAGGACATTGTGGCAGATGCCTCCCTGGATGGATTTTTCACAACTCATCCTGCTATTTCTTTTCTTACAATGAGTTACCTACTGTCACAAAGAACTGGCCAGATAGCAGAGCAGACTGTGTTAATCGTGGAGCCGACCTGATTGTGATCGATAACCAGGAGGAGCAGGTGGGTTGAAAATAAATGAGTAAATACTGTTAAGAATATGTAAATAACAATGTTGAAATAAATACTTTTTAATCTTACAATTAATCCCTTTAAAAATGTTAATTTCTTGCTTCACAGAAATTTGTGAGTGAAATAATTGAAAGTATAAGACATGAACGTAGGGTCTGGGAAAGTGGATACTGGATTGGTCTCACTGACACAGTGACAGAGGCAACATGGATCTGGATTAATAATGTCACAGAGGTGGAACAAAGGTGAGAGCTGTAGTGTTTTACTATTAACGCTGTAGTAATTATGGATAATTAGTGATTACTTTTATGAATGATTTGATTTTTTCAAAGGTATTGGATGGATGGAGAACCAAATAACCGTGGACACATGGGAGAAGACTGTGTGATATCAGTTTACTCCGCCACTAATCCCTGGAAGACCCGTTTCGATGCCGATTGTCAGCAGAGAATGAGTCACTGGTTATGTGAAATGAAATCAAGCTAGAATCAGGAACTGCTGCTCAAGCAGAAAACCCAAGTATTATTTTGTAACTCTTTAAGAAAAGAATAAAATACCCCTAAGATTGGTCTCGTGTTTGGTCCTCATATGTCCTCATATGTAGAGTTTTGCAGAAGAAAGTGCATCTCAATAAATGACCCTAATAAAGATTGTGTGCCAAATCAGTATGTTAGGATTGTCATTGTGAGTGCCGAACATGTTAGCATCACTCTAACTTAGGAAAGCGTCACATAGCTGCTATTAATGTTCAAAATATCCTGTAAGTACAGGATATTTATATATCAGGTACAGGCTGTACCCTTTAGAGACGTACTCCACCCTAAGACGTTCAATGTCTATACTATGATATTACACGTCAATGCTGGTTTTAAAATTTACATTATTATTAAAGTTATGAAAATCTGCATCTTTTGGGATAAAAAGGATTCAAGAAGCCATCTAGCAATACTGTTTTAAATCACCCTTAACCATTGAACCTTGCAAGCTCAATGCTAATATACAGTCGATCGTTTATATAAAAAATAGTGTTAACGTCCTCCACTTTGGGTGGGAGTCAAATTGCTGCTCTCATTTTCAATTGTGTACTGATTGACAGGAGTTTATGCTAGTCTCTACTTAGTATTTTTGTATCTTGGCGCAGTCCCCCCACAGACACTCACACACATACAGGAGAGTTGTGTCAGCTGGCAATAGTTACTTAATGAATAATTATCAAAACCCTTTCAGACTGATCCAGAGACCCACATAACCCAGATTGGCTTCTCGATTGGAGAGGGAAGGGACTTCTGAAGACTGACTTATGGGTAACAGTTACATCTGTGTACAAAAATGCAACAGATTACACATCTTGTGGATTGTTATTTTTATTGTCACATCAATATTTCAAACTGAAGACCATTGCTGAAGATAATTTATTAGCTTTTAATTTAGTATATCGTAAGTTAAAACCAGGGTCCCAAATGGAAGTAGGTCCCCTCTGCTAGCCTGGTGTGGCTACACGTTTTGACAAGTATAGACAGGTCTGAATTAGAAACCTGGTTGCTTCAGTAAGTACTAAGCGGCTTAGATCACATACACAAATATAAATGTTTAAACCTTTAGCAATATGGACATGCTACACATCGTTAGATCAGTTACATTCTCCATAATTCAGTCGTTCAGTTCATTTTACAGCAAACCATGAGCACCAAAAGTATTAATGATTTCTAATTGATATGTTATTTAGTTGTGTCATTTTTATTCAAGTAATATTCAAACTGATTTAAATGAACAGTTTGATAGTATTTCCCATCTTTGCTGATCAAGAGTTTTATGCAAAAAGCATTAATGGCCTGTCCCCAATAGAAGCAGGCTGAGTTCAGTGACTGAAGCAAATAAAAGCCTGGGCTATTAATTTAATAATTTAAGTTTTATATATGTGTAGGAGAGAGAGAGAGAGAGAGAGAGAGAGAGAGAGAGAGAGAGAGAGAGAGGAGGAAGACCTGAATTCTTAAAGCTGAGCTACCAGGGGGCCCCTTGAATTACAGTAATAACTGCCGGATTCAGTCTGTGTCTGTTCAAAGTTGTTTTGCTGATTGCTGCTGTTATTACCAGGATTAACTTCTGTAAGTTCTGTACGACGGTTGGCACAGAAGTTTCATTTCCCTGTTCTATAGAATTTCACCTTTATCGGATAGCTGAGTATATGCTTTTTCGATCGAGTGATTTCAACAATTCCTTATTTAGATATTTCAACAAACACAGAAAATCCCGGCCTTTGGATTAAACTCTCAGAGTTAAAATCAACTCAATTTGAGTGTACATGTGAGACCACTGAGCACACTCTAAGGCTGAGTTAAAGGAACTATTCTGAGTTAAAACACTACTCCCATGAAGAGTAAAAACAACTCTCATCTTGTGTTATACAACAAGTTATACTTTGAATAACAATGTAAACATGTTACAGCAAACATTCACATTTAAAACCAACTGCAACAATAACTTAACAGATGGGAAATTGTGTGGTGAAATGGAAATGACAAATACATAAGAAATATAAGAAAAGTATTTCAACAAAACTGAAATATATATTGTCAACACCACATCCCCATACATTGGATAAAAGTGTAAACAACCTTCTTGACTGTACAGATGCCTGATTACAAACAGTAACTCTGTGGTTGTTAACATGAGGTAGACTTTTGTCCTCCACAAGGAAAACATGTAACATTTTCATTGTGTAAGCTAACAACAACCTTGCAAGTAGTCTGCAAAAATGTGTACAGGCTGGACAGACCATCATCATATTTCACAATGAAAGTGGGACTTGATCATCTTGTCAAATGTGCCCAAAGATGTACATGACTGACACGGAAGAAGCTTTCTATCCAAGACTATGTAGAAGCTGGAAACATGTGCTTTTTAAGTCCCTGTGGCCAGAAGATATGGCTGGGGGTTTCCTTCAGTGATGATGAGATGATCCTCTAATCTCTGGCAGGGCTGAAACACAATGAAAAGCATCTCCATATAGACTATTTCTGAAGCCATCTGAAATCAAATTTAGTCAACTGTTGAGATGTTTGGACCCCTGGCCTCTTGGATGGCCTTGTCTTGAAAACAGGTGCTCTATTTTTTCAGGAACTTTGAAGCAGTCTCTGGTCCAAACATCATTGAGAAGTCTTGCAAATCTAATAAAAAATAGAAGAATTATTTATGACCATTGAGTCACCAAGCGTCACCAATTTCTGTCTTTATTTTTATGCTTTTATTTGACAGTGACAGCGTGAGATAATCAGGAAAGGATTCGAGAAAGAGAGACAGAAGGGGGACAGCATAAACGGGTTTGGGTTGGAATCGAACCCGGTCCGCTGCGTTAAGGAGTTTAGCCTTTGTACATGGGCTACACGCTGTATTAGGTGAGCTACCAGGGTGCCGGCCAATTCACTGTCTGAAGGATTGAGATATATGGTCACAAATTCCTGAGTTATGGCCAAAGATGTTCTGTCATCCCTGAGTCCAAGTGGATGTTTGAGCCAAATGTGAAGATATTGCCCCGAGGTGTTACTCAAAAACATTATGCCTCTGGCCATGGCTGCTGTCAGAGATATAAAAATAATGTTACCATTCAGAACGAGGATTTAGAACATTGTTTTAGAGCATCTTTATGAAATATCATCCCATTTAAACTGCAAAATGATGTACTGTAGCCCCAGGTTTGCTATGTGTTAAATTGGTTAAAATAAATTTATGAATATGCATCATGTATGTCAGGGTTGTTGAAGAGAGATGTTAGCTATTACAGTACTCGTTTATTTAATTTAACTCTAAACTATGCATGTACTGTGTTTACTTGGAAGTATTTCATAAGGGGAAGTATAGTCTTGAGTATCTGGAACCAGTTGAGGAGAAGAAATGCTACAGCTTAAATGCAACTAAGAAGACTTTCACTTCTCCTTTCTCAGTTTTGGCAGCAATTGGATTATTATGAATTTGTTGATGAGCTCAGCAGTTTTAAGTGTTGACACAGGGGCCAGTGTCCTGATAAATAATCTTGTGTGTGCTCTCATAAACTGACAATTGTCAGAATGGAGAGGAGAGCAAATTTTGATGGCGGATTTAACACACTGATTTGTGAAGATGGCGAACACGATGAGCAGGATCCTCAATACTCCCACTCTAACCAAGGCGGGAAAAAAGGTATAGTCAGCTCAAAGTTATCATTTACACAATACACTTACATAAACAGATTTGATTTCTCTTTGATTCTTTGACATTGGTACCAGGCTCCAGTGCTGACAAATATTGTCTTCCCAGTTCAGTGTGACCTTTGGGGACACTTCGTAAATATAAGTCCTGGGAGTAAAGACAATAACTTCCCATCCTTTTATTGGGGATGTAAATTTGTAAGAGGGAAGCAGTCCAAGAACAAGTATAAGTATAAATTAAAACCATGTAAACGTCTGGTATAAATTGGTGTAGAGTGAATGGCTTTAATATAATATATAAAATTAAATCAATTATTGATGATGATGAACATGTATTGTTAGTTCAGTTTGATACTGCTGGCTTTCTGATATTGATTCATTATCTCTCTGTCTAGTATTCACGTACATTACGACGCCTTGGAAACATAGAGACAGACTGGTTGCAGTGAGCCTGGCGCTACTCGCTATCTTTCTACTCATAGTTGATATCAGCCTGGGGGCCCACTGTAAGTCATGTTACTGAGTACCATGCTCATTGGTTACTGATTACTGAAAATGAGAGAGAAAGTGGGTAATAAAGATTTTGTAACACTGTTTGTCCTCGATGCTTACAGACAACAACCTCAAAGATACCAGCGTTACCATTAATGATACAGAACGCATCAGCAATAATTTGACCCAACTCCAAGAAACTTACAAGGCCGCAGTGGAAACCATGAATGGTTTCAAGAAGCAGCTCGAAAGAGAGAAGATCAGTCAGAAACCAACCACCTGGGAGTTAAAACACCAGACAAAAAGAAGTACAGACTATAAAGTGCTGTTGGATAAACTGACTAAGGACACTGCAGCACTGAGATCCCGCTTACCAAAGATTGGTGAGACCTGTTTTACCATTAGTGCATATCATAAAAATGTTAAAAACATAGTAATGTGTTTTTATAGTTTTAAATGTTTGTGTTATTCACTGTTATTTTCTGTGGCAACAGATGGTGGCTGCAGACACTGTCCACAAGGATGGATTTTGATGAACTCTGTGTGTTACTACTTCTCTAAGGGTATAATAAAAACTTGGCAAAAATCCAGAGACTTCTGCCAGATGTATGGAGGTGACCTTCTAGTCATAGACAGCAAAGACAAAGAGGTACATTTTCAACATACAACTCATGTTTCTTTGCTACTCTGTTTGTCAAAGTGTTTTTTTTAAACTATCTTTATATTTCTTATTTGTTAGAACACAACTGTAACTCACTTGGTAGATAGTTTGAACCCAACAACATGGGGCTTCTGGGTTGGACTGAGTGATAACAACGAGGAAGGAACTTGGAAATGGGTGGATGGAACAATACTGGTTGAGGGGTAAGAGTTAATGATGTCACATGTTGTTGTATTTGCAGGAAATTGTCAGAATAACATCCCGCTGCTGGGTCAGTTTTTGGTACATTCAGTCAGACATGCTGTGAAGGTTTCCAGGATTTAAATTTTCCTTTGTGCAAGCAGACCCCTATGAATGATGGTATCTTTCTGCATGATCAGATGGAATGAGAAGGGGTTGTATGCATTTAGCAAGTTAGGAAAATGCATTCATCAATAATCAAGACTTGTCAGAGACTTATACAGACCTGTATACATTTGAGCCTAAGCTTCTTTTTTCCCCCCCTGTGGATCATTTTAGAATGTAATAAAAATAGGCCATTTGAAAATTCATATGAAAAACCTACAAAACAAAAAACAACTAGATGATCTTAATAACTGTTTTGAATTAGGTGGGTTTTGTCCATTTATTACCAATCCAATTATTTGATTTGAAATAATAATGTGGACAACTGTAAACTACCATTTGCTCCAGGTACTGGAGGGATGGAGAACCAAATGATGTTGGTAACGAAGACTGTGCAGTGGTGCATCCTGAAGAAAACTTCTTCCAGGCTTGGAACGATGTTAGTTGTCAATCCAAGTCGTATTGGATTTGTGAAAAAGCACTAAGTTAAGTTAACAGTGTATATGTACTGCAAGTTGCCTGCAAGCTTAAGTGTTTAAACTTTTAGACACCTTCTGACATTTCCTGTAATAAAGAACAGAATCAGTCATTTCGTTGTGCATGTTACTATTACACAAATCTCTGTAGTTCATATATACATATATAGTGGCTTTTTATTTATAGGAAAGGGGGGAGAGAGAGAGATGGGGGGGGGGGGCACTTGCCTCACCACAGAAGGAGTCACAGTTGTGGTCAAATAAAGGAATAAAATGCTTATATCTGTGTGTTACAAACCATTTATACAATGTTTATACAATACGTAGAAATTCTAGATAGAGGGACTTAAAAAGTGATACCAATACATATGATGAGTGAGCAAGAGTGGGAAACTACTTATAACTAGGTGAAGGCGATTAAGACCATAAGAGCCATGAAACTTTAGTTTCTTTTTATGCTTACTGTATTTACTTAATGTGGGATTTGGGAAAGTTGCATTCCAAGAAAATATTTAAGTCCTTCATGTTAACCTACGGCCTAACCTGTAACCTGCATCGTCTATTGTGTGCTACTGAATCCCCCTGAGGGCAAATCATAGTGATGTTACAAACTAATGGGCAGAATAGAAATGTTTTTTAAACTACCTCTCAGCATTGACACATTGTCCCAGACAAACAAATTCTTTATCTCACATTTGGTTTATTGGGATCTGGTCACCCTACCAACAGATCATAAGGTCAGTGCGCATAAATCAATACTACATGCAAATAAAAGGAAAATCTCTGCTAGATTTGAGGTGCATATCCCTATCATGATAAACCTGCATACTTAAATTAACATGAAACACACCAACCTTTCATTTTTATTACTACTGATGCCTGATGGCTAACACTGCAATGTAATAAATAATTTCTGATCTAGGCAAATGACATGGTATTTTGTTTCTGTAGATCTCGTATGATCTGTTGGTATACCTTTCTAAAATGGGATACCAAGTCTTTGTGAGTCCTACAACAAATGGATAATTGTTAATGAATTATTCAAACATGCTGTAATAAGGTGGCATTAGTGTGTATTTAAAAAGAGTTAGACCATCAAGTCTGCAGTTTGAGTTTACAAAGAAGGATAAAATGACAAATTATAGTAAAGGATAAATAGCTTATCATTGATCTAAAAGGGGAGTTCATTTGATGTTAATCTGTAAGTGAAGTGCAAATACTGCATTGTTTTAGACACAATGGAGAAATGTTACACAGAGCACTGATATTTACTGATTACTAACTATATTCCACAAATACACACAAAGGCCTTAGCATTCAGACCAGGGTCCAAACACACACCCACACACACACACACACACACACACACACACACACACACACACACACACACACACACACACACACACACACACACAAGCAAGCCCTATCACTGGTAAAAGCAAGAGACAAACAGATCAATAGGCACTACTTGCACCAGTATAATGGACAACTCACAGTCAGAACCTGAGAAGGAAATGTCATTTGAACAGAAGATTTCTCAGACTTTCAACACAGATGGATTTTCAGGCTCTCGCCATCAAACACGTGGACGAGGTACAACTAACTTTAAAATCCATCCTTCTGCAGTTTCTGACAACTGTCCTACTTCTTTTACTCCACCTTTTTACTATTTTTTCTCTTGAACTGACTCAGTGTGACTTTAGTTCATTCAGTGACTTTGAAATGTATATAAATGAATGAATATAATCTTTAAGTCTATTCTATGGTTTTATAACTCAAAATGTGACGGTTTTAACCCTATAAACCAAATCCATCATCCTTAATTTAATCTTGAGGGTCTAAATTAAGATGAAATATACAATTAAGATTTTAACTCAGAATAACATTTTCAAGGTCTGTTTATGGAAAGAGGTGGGTCTGCGTTTCCACACCACCGACTGGTTATACTGAGTCTGGGCCTGCTGAATGCAGTTCTGCTGATAGCTACTGTTGTCATTGGGATTTACTGTAAGTATGAGTTCACAGAAAACTGCTGATATCCTCTATTTGATGTACAAGTAGTCTTCAGCATAATCAGATTCATATAACTGACCTGACAAAATATGGATATGCAAGATTGTATCAAATAGAAATAGAGATATAATTTTCAATTTATTTTCTCAAGTATCAATATCCTCTAGCAATACAATCTAATCTAATGTAGCTAATGTATACCTCATAGGTATAGACAATAGCCAGTGGCCATTTTACAACAGTTTTTAAAAAGTAGGATCTAGTTAATATGGTCAACATGGTCTGATACAATATGACTGTAACTAACTATTATTTACATTATTAGTTAGTTGACCTCATACTTTGTCCATTATTGACTCATATTCTGGTGCATAAAATGAAGAAATACCACCATAAGTTCCCTGAGGTCTCAAGTTGCTTGTTTTGCCCACACAACAGTTCTGAAACCAAAAGTATTCCTTTACATTTATTACTGTAACTCTTACTGGAGGTTTTGGGACAGACATTTTTAACTGGTCTAGAGCCACGTTATAGCAGCTCTGTGGGGCTGTACTGGCACAACAGTACACAAGCTAAATGTCAGCATGCTAACATGTTCACAGTGACAACACTAACATTTCCCATGTTCAGCAGGAATAATGTTCACAATGCTTATTATCGCAGTTTAACATGCTTACATTTTATAACTAGTGCTAAATAAATGCTACAGCTGAGGTTGATGGAAAATGTAGTTTGCAGGTATTTGGTCATAAACCATAAAAGTGTTCACCAAACTTGTTACAATTAATGTTGTGGGGTCTAAATGTCTGTAACAAATGCATAGAAATCGATCGAATAGTGGCTGAGACATTACACTTAAAACCACAAATATCATCCCCATGGTGGCGCTATGAAGTCAGTAGCTAAAAGAAAAAATACTCCTCTTTCTCTATGTTATTATGAGTTTCTATGCCTCAGGTGCCAAAGCCCAAGACATTTACCTTCAGGTTCCTGATTCAGCTGCTACACCCCTCATCATTGAGATGAACTATCTCCGCAACCACAGCGGTATCATCAGAGCTAAGTTGGAGGCCCAGGCAGCATTGGCGAAACAGCGTGCCAGCCATGTGCAAGTAAAGATGGAAGTGAAACAGCAGCAAACCCTCACTGACAGCCTTCAGAGACAGATTGAGACACTGCATACAGAGAAGACAAATCTGCTGTCTGAGAAAACTTCCTTAGGTAAAATTTAAGGCAGACTTCCAAGCTGTCTTTGATGGAAAACAGTCCTGTAACATATCATGGTTAAAATGATCAAATCTTCTCCCCCAAAGGAACACATGCTGTTAATCTTCACCTTTTATATATTTGTTATTCATCATAATATGTGTATTTTTAGAAAATCTATTTTTGTTAAAGAAAAAAGAAAACAGCCTTTGATGAGAATTTTTTTCCCTCCTATTTCCTGTTGCAACAGAGGAAAACTGTGGCAGATGCCTTCCAGGATGGATTCTTCTTAAATCTTCCTGCTATTATTTTTCTTCTCGCCAAGTGTCCAACTCCAAAAAGAACTGGTCAGATAGCAGAGCACACTGTAATAGTCAAGGGGGCGACTTGCTTGTGATCAATAACTTGGAAGAGCAGGTGGGTAAAAACCTAAATGGATGGGTTTCAGTCTAAAATAAAATAGTTCTAGCTTCATGGGAATTATTATTATATTAAAATGATTTTCACAGAACATACTTTTGATGTCTCTGCTTCTGGTTTTAAGTTAATATTTCATGGTTCTGTTGCTAACCCTAGCCAATTTAGGAGGATCTATTGGCAGAAATGGAATATTATATTGTGTTTTCATTAGTGTATAATCACCTGAAATTAAGAATTGTGTTTTTATCTACAGACCGTGCGGGTCCACCATTTTGAACCACCATGTTTCTACAGTAGCCGAAAAATCAAACACTGGCTTTTAGGGCCTTTCATGTTTTAAGTTAAACTTGATACAGCATATTTAAACATATTGTATTTAGGTCTGACACTGTCCCGTGATAAAGGATGTGTCACTTTAGTGTTTGGCTAAATAAAAGTTAAATAAACTTTAAATATTTAATATTATCTGTGATAATAATACATACAGAGTAATACATTTTCTAATCTGTGTTCTATTAGCTGCAAAATGGACAGCAAGTCAGGGCCAAGCATTATCCAAAGTGGCCTGTAGTTGTAGTGCTTTCATTATTCCTTATATGATATGTTGTGTAACATTTAAAGTGTTAATATTACCTGAAGTAAATAGGAAATGACATTGTCTCAGAACAAAATCCAGGCAGCAATTACGATGTCACAACAACAGGATTCTTAAAAGTAATGTAGAATTTAATATTATGGAAATGTAATTTCTAGAAGACGATGCATACTGTAATTACACAGCTTTTTTAATCTGAGCCCTTCAAACAAGTAAAACACAAACAGAGAAAATATCTCTTGTCAAAAACCGTCTTTAACTTTGGGGCTAAAACGGCCACCCCTATTACTCAGAGGGAAAAGCTCCATTTGATCGTAATGTACATGTTTGCTTTCTTGCAGCTACGTATAAGTGACAACTATCCAAAGCAGAGCAGCGGCCATGTGTGGTGGCAGAACGGATTTTGGATCGGCCTCACTGATGTAGTGACGAAGGGAACGTGGGTCTGGGTTAACAATGTGACTGAGGTGGAAACAATGTAAGCATCAGCTCACCAACTGTTAACAACTGCTATGGACTTTATAGCTTTGTGACAATGTCATCATGACAACTAATAGAGTTGAACTAAATTCTTCTCTGAATGATTCTGATTTATCCAAGGTACTGGAGAGATGGACAGCCTGTCCTTTTAGGACCTCAGGGTGGGAACTGTGCTGCTTTGTATCACTTTGGCGATAGCAGGAAGACATGGTATAATGGGAACTGCCACAGCCATCAATATAACTGGATATGTGAGATGGAGCCACAAAACACATGAAACGTCTCAAGCAGAAATCACATTAACTGGACAATGTATGCATGTGAGCATTTTTAAGGTTTGCTTACTACATGTATGTGTGCAGTGCTAGTATTTTTTCCCTGTCATGTTTGAGCAGAAAATAGGTGCAAAAATGCCAAAACATCTCTTCAAGAAGAAACACTGGTAACTTCACACATCTGCTCATGGTACAATTTAATAAGCTTGTTGATCCTCTGAAAGTCTGAAATATATAACTGAATAACCTGATGAAACACAATACGTCCAGTTGTGTATATATAATATTACAAAACCATGTTCAATTAAATAAAAAAGGTGACACCTGAAGAAATGTCTTATAAAGCTTGACTGAATAAATCAGAAATCATTATGTGAGGACACTGCTCTCCAAATTACCAGCACATCCCCCCTGTAAATATTTAACTAATGAACCTGATTTTTTGTTTGTAATGTTCCACACATGCACCCACACACAGGGCAACGTCCTAACAAAACCCCCCCTCCTCGACAAACACATCAGTCTGCTCTCATCTTAACAGTCAAAATGGAGGACAGAGGGAATTCAGGTGGCAGTTTTGATGGTACATATAACAAACTGATTAGTCAAGAGGACTTCAGCGGAGATGAGCACTCGCTCTACACAAACCAAGAGAAGCAACAAGGTATCGTACATGAGAATTGCATTAATGGCTGAGTACATCAACAAGAATCTGTTTATGTATAATCTGTTCTTTAAATAAATTTAAATAGACGTTTTCCTGTGCTAATTTCTATGCTATTCTTTACATGTATCCTTGTTTTGTTCAAAGTTATTAAGTGCATGGTTTTAATCATCTTTAGAATATACAGATAAGGAAAAATTAAAGGGGAAAAAAAAACTGTCTTAGTAGGGTGTTCAGTTTTTCCTTTGTCGATCATCTGTATGTTATTGTGATAATATTGAACTGTCACTGTATTGTGACGCAGTTTATGGCTCAGATATTGATCCACCACCTCTCTGTGTAGTGTCCATGTCCATGGTGAGACCTGACTTCAGTTTGAATCATTACAAACTGCTCACAGTGAGCCTGGCAGTGCTCGCTGCCATTCTACTAGCAGCTGATATTGGCCTGGGAGTCTACTGTAAGTCACTGTTAACCCACAAAACACTCATAGATTTACAGTATTGGTGATAGTTATGAGGTGACATACCATTCACTATTGATTACATTAAAACTAATGATTCAGTCTGAGACTAAAGGTTGGAAGTAGAGCTCATCTTCAAGTAACAAAAACAGGCAACAAAAGAGGCGCAGCTACAGAAAGTTTGATTTAAAGCTGCTATAATCAATATCTTTATTTTAACATGACTTTCTGAAATATAAAAGGTGTTACTATTTTTAACAAATTGTTCTGGTTTAATGGCTCAAAACTTAACTGTTTCTGTTCACTCACCGCTTGAACCAGATAATAAACTATTTAGCAGCTAAAGACCAAAACAGAGCTAAAAGAGGAAAGTGAATATTGGACTTACATTAATCTAATGGAGATAAAAATAACTGTCTGCTAGTAACTGTTTGCTAACAAGTTCTGGTTGCAGCTTGTTTCCTCTGCCCCCAAGTGATAAATAAAATCAGTAATGCAGGTTTATGAAATGTTTATAAAAACCTGATAAATCTATATTATATGTGTTGGTGGGAATACAGCCTGCGGTTGTACTCAATTACACTAGCAAGGACCTCAGCTACAAGCTGTCAAATTAAAGAGGCCTCAACACTGATATCTAACGGCTCAGTAGCACCCTGCTGTGATCTAATGCTGTATGACACCCTAGGAAAATGACATGCACACTAAGAAAAAATGCTACAAATTACACTTTCTATAGCTGTATGTAAAAGTTAATCCTTGACCAACATGACAATTGAAGAGTCTGATAACTGATTAATGTAATTTATGAAAATATTATAAAATATAAATGTTTTTTCTGTTCCTTCTCCAGTGCTCAGGTTTGCCTTTTTACTGTAGGCGACTATACATGTAGTGTAAAAACTGTACAGATGTTTATGATGCTTTTATGATGAATGAACGTAAACTGAGACTTCATTACTAGAGTAACTACTACATATTTACCACTTACAGATAGCAGACTCACTGATGGGTACCGTACAGTAACGGACATCAGCAGTGAGGTGGCCAAACTGCAGGCTACTTACAACGCTGTAATCCAAAGCAGGGATGAAGCCAAGAAACAGTTGGAAAAAGAGCTCGGTGAGCAGCAAATTACCAAGTGGGAGCTTGAACACCAGAAAAGAAGAAACACTGACTATGAAAGACTGTCTGACAAAATTCGAATGGAAATTGCACCGTTGAAATCCCACATGCCAATGATTGGTGAGAGCTTTTTTTTTTTAAAGGCTACTGATTGTTTGTATTATTAAGCTATACATACATAATTATTGTGACTCAACCAACAACACATCATGTTTCTATTTTCTTTGGTAACAGAGGAAGGCTGCAGACACTGTTTACCAGGATGGACTTTCATGAACTCAGTGTGTTACTACTTCGCTCTCTCTGATGCTATGTCACGCAGATCGTGGCAGGAAGCCAGACAGTTCTGCACAAGACAAGGAGGCGATTTGGCAGTGATAGACAGCAGAGAGAAACACGTAAGACTCAACATTTAGTCAACACACTGATATTTTTGCACAAAACTCTTGATTTCCTTTCTTGTAATTCTTTGTAAACACTTTACATTTTATTCCTGAGCAAAAAGTTTTTGTAGAATCCAACTAAATAAATGAATTTACGCATGTGTTTGTGCATTTCCGGTGTTGTCAGATGGCAGTAGCTGAGTTGATAAATAATTATCGAGACCCTTTGAGACCCATAACCCAGAGTGGCTTCTGGATTGGACTGAGAGATGTGGACGAGGAAGGGACTTGGAAATGGCTGGATGGAACAAGACTGACTGATGGGTAACAGTTACAGATAGCTCATTGCAGTCAAATATTGTTATTGTAGAAACTGTCAGGTTTGCACATTCACATAATTACAGTTGTGGCTATCATCTATTTAAAATTAATCCAAATGAATCACTGATTATAATTTACTATCGCAAAGCAGTTATTATGACTCAACAAAGTAACCTATCATTTGTTTCAGGTACTGGAATGATGGCGAGCCCAACAACCATCATGGTAATGAGGACTGTGCAGCTGCCTACCCCAGAAGCAACCCCTTTAAGTCCTGGAACGATGCTCCATGTACTTATGAGCTGAAATGGATTTGCGAAATGGCACCAAAGTCTGCAAGTTAATGTTTTTTTTTTAATCACATTTGGTTTTTGTTTAATTATTTGAATGATGCATTAACTCCATCTCAGAGACCTTTACACATCTTGTGAATTGTTATTTTTTTTTATTGTCACATCGATATTTGTTGGGACTACAAAACGTCAAAAAAGATTACAATATGAAAAATACATCTGATTTGAACTGTAAAATGTAACATAATTATTTGACTGTAATAAATAAAATATTTACCTTTACTATATACATGTTTTACTACTTTACAGATATGTACACTAGGTTACCTAGTGTACACATACTTTCACATAAATTATACATTCCTACAAGTCATATGTTGTGTGACAGAGCAGCATTTTTAAAGTGTAAATTGAGATATTAAGTTAATCTTACAAATGCCACAGACATTAATCCTGACATAGACAATTAAAACTAGTAAGAGTTCATTTAACCACCAGAGCTAAGCATTTGGATTCTAGCAATTCCCTAACGGCTGTCATCTTGGCATTTTGACACCCTGCTGTTGCAAGGATTTACTCAGAATGATGTGAAAAGGGAAAGACGTACAGTGACCAGGGATTCTGTAGTTAACAGCTTGAGCATCAGAGGGGTCAAAAGAAAACGGCCAGAAAAGTGAAACAGACATGCTGTAATGAGGCCAATCACCAAAGCAGAAAAATGCACCACACAGGACTGTTTCTAATGTGATACGTCCACTCTGTTTAACTATGTAAGAGGTGTACCTGATAAACTGGCAATTTAGTGTATAAGTACAATTTGATAAATAAACACAAACAAAAACTATTTCCATGTCTGACTAACCTGCCAATCTTTGAGCATTTCAATAACTTTGTGTTTTCAAGCCTGCAGTGCAGTGTCTCTGATCTCTGACCACAATCTTTTTCAAACCACACCTCGCTTCCTAAACATGCTGGTCAGATGCTCACAGCACCGCAAAGTGCTGCCGAAGTTGCTTAAGAAGCTGTTGTGTGTCGACGTGCTCGGGGAAGGCGTCCTCTGACTTTTGGGCCGCCGTGTAGCTGCTCTGAAGGTCTCCGATCTGGACACAGACAAAAACATCAGGGAGTGTCTCTTTAACTACAGTGCTCTTTTAATTGTTCATAATAATTAAATAGTAATAAATTACCTTTTCAGAGAGAATGGAGAGATTGAAGTGTGGCTCATACATGTGAGGAGCCAGTGATTCAGCAGTCTGCAGGAAGGCTTTAGACTGGATCAAAGATAAGAAAACCATTAATACTGTTAAAAGTATAATATTTCATCAAAATTTATATAAAATAAAATAAAATTTATTTATAAAGCACATTTAAAAAACATTGCAAAAAACTTTAATGGTTCTTAAATAATAGGCTAAGTTACATCTTCTTAGAGGGTCTAAAAGGACACCAATATGATCTTATACCTCATATTTTAACAGTGGAATAAAAGCTATATAACTCAAAGATATGTCACCTGTTCGATGCGACCTTTGCGCAGCTCCAGCACAGCCAGGTTGTTGTAGGCCTCAGCATGGTCATTATTAAAAGCCAAAGCAAGTTTAAAACACTGGTAGGCCAGTGTCAAGTCCCCAATGCCCTGTAAACACAGAACACACACACTTTGTACCAACCTCTATTTGCATGTTGTAAGATTATGAGTAAATATTTAATTTATTTTAACTGTAACCCATATAAAGAGGGCATACGTATGACAATGATAAATCATCAGACATTCTGGGATATTTTGGGGGATTGTTAACTCACCACGGCCACTTGTCCTATGTTGTACCAGACATCAGCCTGCTCTTCATCATTGGCCACCAGGGCCATAGCCCTCTCAAATGAGGACAGAGTCATGTCGTACTGCTGGGCATAGAAGCAGCACAGGCCCAGGTTGTTGTACAGCTGGCAGTTATACACCCCCATCTGGAGGAGCCGTCTAGCAACAGGAAAAACTTATTGAATGACAGATAGGAAATACATTCTCATCACATACACAGTAACAACACATTGCATAAAATATACATAACGGATTAACTGACCTGTAGAAGCGCAGGGCGATCTCAGGCTGATCAGTGTAGAAGTGATTGCTGCCTATACAGGCTATAGCCTCCACGTGAGTGTTATCCTGCTTCAGGACATCTTTGTAGTACTCTGTGGCTGATGAAATGTTGTTCATCTCCTGTGACAATATCACAGTGCAGACAGTACATATGGTTTCTTATTTCATTTTGGCAGGTGTGTCTGGACAGAGGACTAAGTGGACTCTATAGTAAGGACCATGGTGACATACTATACCTCATGTATGCGAGCGATTCCTGTTAGAAGGGTAACCTCACCAGGAAAGTGGTCCAGCCCTTGCTTGAAAAGGTTGAGTGCTGTTATTGGTTGATCCAGGCGCTGATACACCTAAAGGGAAACACACACTGTTTTTTTCACAGAAAAAGTTCCAGTTTTCTATTGTGCTACAGAATGGTAATGTGATGTCATGTCATGATGTCTCCATCGCTACCTTTGCAAGGTAGAGATATGTATCCACCACCTCTTGGTGGTTGAGAGCTGACCGAAACTGTTTTTCTGCCTCACGATATAAACCAAGCCTGCAAAAGGCAGAGACATGGGTCATCACATGAAAATGCAACTTGATTAAATGTCAGGAATGTTGAGCTGAAACATTGTGAATGTTTGAGAGTTACTTGCCTGTAGTAGCATTTCCCTAACTGAACTTTCCACCACCAATCTTTGAACTGAGCATGTTCAGTAGCTTGAGCAGCCAAATCTAAAGCCTGGACAAGAAATATAAAGTTTGTGTTGCATGAATAATAGACAATCTTACAATGTAATGCGAACCAATTTGCTTTATAACAGATTAATGCAACACTTACATTTTTCACATCATTTTCATGATGGAAGATGAATTCAAACAATGTCTGAGAAGAGATATTATGGTTACTTGAGAAAAACTATGATATTGACAGATTTTTGTAAATCACAGTTTCAGTCTTACCCTGGATAAATTAGGCTTTTGTGAATACTTGGCCAGATTTAGTCTCGACAAGTTTATAAATGGTCCATCTGGATTGGTTAACATAGAGGCCTGGAGAAACAGAACAAAATGTCACGCTTAAAGTTTCAGACATTCTTCACAATCTGTGTAGCAAAAGAAAGCAGGACACTAATAGATGAAAGGTATTTGTTAAACAATATTAATATCAATAATTCTATATTACATAGATCAATGTAACACAAACATCATAGAGAAAAATATATTTGAAAAAGTTATTAAAGTTATTTGAATGATAATTCACTGGCCAGATACTGTGTTTCAAATATAAGAGCTCTGAAGAGAAAAGTATAACTGTATTTCACATGGAGTCTCTCAGTTGATAGAGATTGACACAATTTCAGACATATTTACTCACTGTTCCCAGGCGGATGAATCTGCCAGAAGCACTAGTGACAGGACGAGCAGTGCTTGCAGTGCGGGGGGTCTTGATGGCCTGCTCCATCGTCCCAGGACGCCCTGACTGTGTGCTTGGTCTCACAAATCCAGTAATAGGACGCCCTGATTGTGTCATAGGCCTTGAATTCAGAACAGAAAACTCAGATCAGGCGTTTCTTATTTTGTTGAAAATGTCATCAGTAGTAAAACTCCAAGGCATTATATGAGCATTGACTGGCAGATGGTACCTGACAGCCGGTGTGGGACCCCCACCCTGACTTGTTCCAGGGAGCCTCAGTGATGTTCCGGGTCCTGGAATAAAGCAAAGTCTTATCAATTAAACACATTTTCTTAACTTTAAGGCACTGAGAAGAGTTGAAACTTACGTGCAACTTGAGCAATAGAGCTCTCATCCAACATCATCTCAGCAATCCCCTCCTGATCGACCTCAACTTCATCTATGTACACCATCTCTGTAAGAGCACGAGTTTTCAAGCTCCATGCAGCCTATGAAACACACAATGTTTAAATTATATAGCTAGATGGCCTCGATACACTGGTGAAAATGTTACATTCATGTTGAACTATCCACGTGAAAAAGGATGAAAAAGGATGATAGAGAGGGACAGTCTACAGTCATGGTTACCTCTGAGACAGGCAAGGAGGAGTCCTTAAGACAGCATGCAGTGAGTTAGTGAGAAAAGAAGACCGTGCAGAACAGATGTGAATAAAAGGGGGAAATGAGAAAATGAATGGAAGACAGAGCGCAGAAGAAAATCAAAAATAAAACTTGAAAAAGAAATGCAGCGTAGTTTAAATGCTCCAGCAACAACTGGGATACATGCTGATTCAAAGACGTACCAGAAAATACAACGTTACCCTAATTAAATTATGATAAACTACAAGGATAATCAGGATTACTACCGTTTCCCAGCGCTAGCACACAAGCAGGTTTCCTTAGTGGATAATCGCTAGCATGCTAACTACACCACTGTACCTGGTCGTACGGGTTGTCTTGTAATATTTTTGAGCAAATATCCGAACATTGTTGGAGCTTCCTCCTCCTGAAATAGCTCCATGCCAGAAACAGAGGGTCCATTGTAACCTCCATTGCTCTTGGTTGGACAGAAATAGGTGTAAACGTCAGCTAGCAAGCTGCTGAGCAAGCACCAGGATGATGGTGAGGCCGAAGCTTCGTCTGTCGCTGAGCAACGGCGGAGGAGGGCGGGGCTTCACTGTCGTCATTTCCTCTCATGAAAATATAACCAAAATAAAATAAGAGGAAATTATGCAATATTATATTTATTTTTTACAATTGTAACGGAACACATGCTATACAGAACAAGGGTTGAAGATCATGATTAGGTATGATATAAAAATAACAAAATAGTCCTTGTATTATATACTAAACACTTTATGCCTTAAATCCAATTATATACAGTCATTGCTTAAATGTCATATAAGAAAAATAAGATAATTTATACAAAAAGTATGATAACATTGAAAAGTAAATAATGAATTAAATAAATAAAAAAATAATTAATTAATAAAAGTGCAAAAGGCATGGTTATCTTACTCAGTTCTTTTTATATAACTCCTGAAATACATAATCGTATAGTACAACCCTAAACAGACTCAATGTAATAACCCTAACCTTGTATCCGTGTATACAAGTATTTTTTAATTAAAACTATTTCCATGTAGCTACTCTTTTCCAGTTTAAAATGTTGCTACTGTTTTCGAGTTTAAAATAATAATAACCGGATATAATAATAATAATAATAATAATAATAATAATAATAATAATCGTATTTATTTCCTATTTTTTAGATATTCTTTATTGAATAATATCAAACAATATAGAGACATTTTTCAGCAGCTAGATACAAAACAAACATTACATAGTTTTACATGGGTTAAATAGACAAGCAATAATAAAGGAAAAGGTGAAAAACAAATAAACCCTAGCCTTGTGTATAAGTATTTTGTTTATTAAAACTATATCTATGTTTCTCTATTCGTGTAAACTTCACACATTAGGATTATTAGTTGTTTAATAAGAGGCTGTTATCCAGTTTAAAATATTAGCCTAGCATAACTTTTCCACCCGTGACGGAGTTGTCCTCTCCCCTCGAGGACGAGTCAAAGGATCCGATTGGACGACAGGCTGATCCGTCATGTTTGTGGGCGGTGCTTGCGGAATAACAGTGCAGCTCCATCTTTGTAGGATTTGACAGGAGCTTTGACCTGTGTCGAAGAGGACCGCAAACCCGGCGCTGAAGAAATACAAGTATATTCTCCCAATGAAGACAGCGGCTTAGAAACCTCGTTTAGTGAAATAGATGACAGAGAGCTCTCATCTCACCAGACAGCGAGGCTCTAAAATCCACATGACCCCCAAAAATGTCTCATTTCAACGCTCTCCCTGGACGGGTGGAAATCCAACGGAACTAATGGGACACACGGGCTTTAAATAAATCCTTTTTGGTGAATGACACTATATCAGAAATCCTACGTGATAGCGACAGAGAGACACACACGGAAGTGCGGACATGGCTGACAGAACTGCTCCCAACTGCCACCTGAGACTGGAGTGGGTGTACGGATACCGGGGACATCAGTGCCGCAACAACCTGTACTACACCGCCGCCAAGGAAATAGTCTATTTTGTCGCCGGTGTGGGAGTTGTGTACAACACCCGGGAACACAAGCAGAAATTTTACCTGGGGCACAACGATGACATAATCAGGTAGTGCACCGATAACAGTTTTGTTTCAGCACCTCGGACAGCAACCAGCAGCCCGTACAGCAGGACATGGACTGACACTGTAGTGTTGTCATTGTAGGTGCTGGTGTCACCTTGTGTAAATGTAATATGATATTTCTGAGCTCCATAGGGAACTCAAAAGTGGGCACACGCCTCACTCAGCAGCATCCCCAGAGTTTGCTCACCAGTGCCACTCCAGCCAGGGCAGATGCCTCTTCCAGATTTAAGGGTGGTCTCTCTTTCTCTCTTTCTCTCTCTCTCTCTCTCTCTCCCTTCCTCCCTCACTACTGAAGATTACACTGCTGCCACTCCTCACGTCTTGGAGTTGCAGGGCTGCTAGATCATTACATTAGATTGTTCATTTACAACAATACGACACTGAGAAAAGCAGCAAATACACTCATCGGAGAATATAATAGAAAATAAATGGCATTTTCTTGCTTAAAATGTGGTTTGAAGTGATATCTAATCTGTAGATTGTCTAAACTATTAACATTTCTTTCTTTGGTGGAGTTCTCAGATTGATGGCGCTTCTGGTTTAATCGCTGTCTGGTGGAAGGCACGTTTCAACATATTTTAAAGGCTTTTTCCATAACAGCAGCATGTATGTCTTTCCAGCACTCAGGGAGCAATAATACTAAAAATGCACTTGAGCCTAGCCGTCCTTGAAGGGATCCCTGGACTGGAAAGCTGTCTGTGGGTTGTGTTAACTCATCTCTGCGTGGCCAAACAAACCTTGAATCACCTGCTCTTTGATAAAACATAGCAAACGTAACCCGTGTTACATCACACGGGATGATCCTCCTGCCTTTCTGACTGTTTCTCAGCATGCCACACAATAACGACCTGTGTCCAACGCTCCAGCGCTTGTGTTGACATGTGTGTGTGTGGGTTGGCCTGGAGATGACTAGCATTATATACTGTGTCGTCCGTCAGCTGGGCTCCTGCTCCATTATTAATGGGACAATAGAGATACTCACCCTCCGCTGCCCTGGGGGTGAAGTGCCTGCGTTCAAACACTTAGCCGGAGGAGTCACTGACTGAACCATAGTGTGATGTTTGATGCAAAAGTATAGCATGTATTAGTAATGTATTGGTAAACCATCAAATTGGTCATCTGTATGTCTGTATTGCAAGCAGATTTGGAAGGATTCGGTCAGTTCAGGCTCGTTATGGTGTCATTTGGTCTTCTGTTGCCATATGATCTTTTCTGCTTTAAAATAGATCTATCTAATAGATCTTTGAACATATTTACAGTACAAGGGGTACAGGTCCCTCGAGCTGTCTGTTGTTGTTGAAACAGACCAGGTAATAGTCATTTTAAACTCAGATCTCAGAGGAGTGCTTGTGAAGCTCCCATAAACACTTGCTTTGACTTAGACAGCTATGGCACAACCAGGAGCAGCCCTCAGCAGATTCAGGGCTGAATAACTGTTGCACTGCTCTCACGTTGCACTAACTCATGTGGAATAGATGCAGCCCCCTCAGATAACGCTACGACTCCAGTGCCTCTCTCTTTCTGTTTCCCTCTACGTTGCTCTTATTTTTTCTTTTTCTTGGCCTATTTTGGTTGCTGCTATATTTTGTTTTGTGAACTTCTATATAAGTATGTGGTGTTTTCACTTCATGGATTAATTGGTTCTCCCTCTCTGATTGTTGCCCTGCAGCTGCTTTTAACTGGTCTCCCAGTCTGATGAACAGATTTTAACATGAACGAAAGGCTGAGCCGTCCATGAGAATGCAAGATAGTCTGGACTTCGTTCGCTGGTCTGACACTTTAGTGTTGCTTTTTAAGCATTGTAAATTCACAGGTTATTGGGCAATAACATAATGTACTGAGAATGTTAATGTGCTGTAGTTAAAACACAATTCCCCTCGAGCCGTGTTAGTGAAATGAGTTGACAATTGTAGAAACTGTTTGCTAGTCATTTCCTCACATTTTCCTGTAATTGTTCCACACTGTTGCAGCTCATATATTTATTCCAGTCTAAAACTCAAAGAACCTGAGGCTTCTGCTAAAAAACCTGCGGGAGTCCATACTGCAAAGCTTAATCTCTCCTTTTTGCCATCATGCTGACATGCAGGACACGCACTCACTGATCTGAACAATACACACAAATACATTCAAAACACAGACATGCACACTGGAAAAATAAGCAGAATTACTAGAAGGGGCTTTGAGCGTGTGATCTCTTTTAGTTCCCATGACTGTTGCAAAACGTCACACACACGTCCAGATAAAGAAGGGTGGAGGATAAGCATTAATATAAGTAACACATGGACATTTTTGTGTCATCATTTATAAGTAAAAACTCACAAAAGTGTGTGAGAGAGAGGGAGTATGACTGTTTGGTCCCATTCTTTGTCTTCATTAGTCTTATTTATCCTTGATTAGAAATTGTTTAAGTCACAATGTTCTGTACAGTTTTATTAAGGCATTGCTTTTAAAAACAGATGCATTTTCAGCTTATGCTATGTTCCTATTAGAAACAAAGCGTTTATGCTCATTGAAGTAAGATGCTAAGAATATCACTGGCAAAAAATAAATAAAAATGGCAAAAGATGGCCAACCCTAGCTTCATTTTCTGTTACTCAAAAACTTGGCTTATTCACGTTCTTTGTTATGATAGAAAGTGAAAGCTAATGAGAGGGTGTTATGGACACAGGAATAAAAGGCCGTCTCATATTACAATATCTTGTTAACTTTATGATGGACCACAGCCAGAGTTATGGATTATAGATGCCAGACGAGGCTGGTCTTGTTTCAGTGAGCTCGGAGAGATGCAGTGAATAATATTGCCCAATAAGTTTCATTAAACTCCTAATACATAATTTTCTCTTGTTAGAATTAGCAGGAAGTGTGCGTACGATAAATGTGTCAGGTTGGCAGAGAGGAGTCTTGCGCCTGCACTCTGTGAACTGTATGAGCTAATGTGAACTAACTCTGCATATAAATGTGCGAACTAAAGTCAAAAGTACAAAACTGACAGCCATGTTCTGTAAAGTCACTAGAGTGTGGTTGATATACATGCAATATAATATATTTGTGCTTCTAACACTGTTACTGTTGCACAAATTAAAGCCGTGCATGTGGAACTATTGACTCTAGTGTATCGGGTGAGTGTGTGGGAATGTGCTTACAGGCAATTACTGCATGAGAGCTAATAGATATGATTCACATATCCCAGTATCCACCTTCCTTTGCTTTTATTATTAATAGACAGTCATGATTTGTAGTGACGTATTCCCTCAAACATCGTCTTCTGCTTACGTTTCTGTTGACTTTGGTCACTGTATTCAATTATTTATGCTTTCAAATGTAACCATAAGAGAAACTAGAAACAGGGCCAAAAAAACAAGATCTAGTTAGACAATTGTAGAAAAAGCACATCATAACAATAACCTTTACTGTTGGTGACAATGCTGTTGGCTTCTGTCTTACCTTTACACA